CGTTTAAACACACAGAAAGGGCGAAAAATGGATGTTTTTGGCTCACAGTCGGGAACCGCGAATGTGAGCCAAAAACGTCCACTTTTTGCGGATTTTAGGTCAATTTCTGTGCGTTTAAACGCGTTTTCTGAAAAGTTTGTCTCCCTGGGTAACAGCCATTCAATCAAAAAAAAAAGTCTGATGGAATCGAAAAGAAAAGTTTTGATCATAGAAAACTTTGGATAACCTATCCATATTCAAAAATGAACTATAATTTAATATTTGACACTTCTTGGTAAGAGATAAACGGATAATATTCGATATGCATTATTTTATACTTGTATCATACAAAAGAAAACATATCTTTTTACTATTTTATTAAATTCATAATACTCTTTTGAATTATACAACAGACATAATCTTAAACATATTTACAGAATCATAGGATTAAAATTGCAATAGAAGAAAAAATTAATAACAGCGATGATAGTCTATATTAAAATAAATTCAACAGTTGTTGTCGTTATACGAACATGGCATATAATAAGCTCAATCTAACAATAGTGTTCATATTGATTTCACTCTTTATGACGTAATAAATTGTATGAAACATACATGGAACCGACGCTTATATAGGAGATATGATCGTATATAGAAGAAGTAGTCACATGTGACGACAATGAACACCAGTTTAATGAAGAAACAAAATCAGATCAAGTTGTGAATGTCATCATTCATTATAGATTGTAAAATCTTATTTCGCTAATACTCAAAGTCAAATTTTAGTTTTTAATTCTACTTGTACTCAATCTGTCCAATAAAACGAAATTTGAACATCAGATTTATAGAGCGTTCAGTTTCGCGACTGACAATGAATCTAAAACCTTTTTTTTTGGAAATGAATGCTTACGAGTGTTCACCGATCACCAGAATTATGGCAGGAGTTTTCTCTTTAACCACAACTACAGTCACACCGATTGTTCTCTGCAGTATTTTGATCTGTTAGTAACATAAACAAAGATATTTCGGGTGTGGGTGGGTGTCGGATGACACTCTTCAGCCTATTGACACCCATGCCCATATCCACCCGCGTATGCACATAGGTGACTGAAATACATAATTTTCTTGAGTGAGATTAAAGCTATCATCTACAAAGACAATAGTTTGAATCTTATTGAGATCATGAAATGTTATGGTTACTTTATGATGCATGACTCACAGTTTCATGTCTTACTTTTTTCTGCACAAATAAAAATATTATTGTAGTATATGAGCGATTTCAGTTGAGCATAATATTAGTTTCTAGACATTTTTACATGGTTGAATAGAGTTCGACGAGTTCTACAAGAATAACTAATACTAAATAAAAATTCTGATCTTGTTTCCAATACAAAACATTGAAGAAACCAGGTAGACTAATAAGAACTTGGAATACATTGCACAAAAGAGTATGTTTAACTTTCAGTAAAATTGGCTGATCGATTAATAATTGATGTTTCGAGGTCTAGTGTGGCATGCCGAAGCTGAATATAACATTTTAGGGCTGCATGAATAGATGGAATAGTAGATCAGTTGAAGTAATAAAAATTTCGGCTTGCTCTCTCTGATATTGAACACAGAAATTTTTATTAGTTTTTCGAGTTTCCTCTAAGTTTTGTTTGAAAAAACTATATCAGAATATTTTTGATATTTATATTTTTGTAGAGCTTGTCAAACTCTATTGAACCACATAAACACTGTTAGAACACCATATTTCTCTGCAAATCAGAGTCCTGCAGGGTAACACTTCTCGTACCCTATATCTTACCCCACAGCTATTTTCATACCCTTATCCTACCATAGAAGTTGCGTACCCTAACCCTATCCTGCAGGACTCTGCTTCAAATGTTACAAGCATATCTTAATTTTTCAAAAACTGTTAGTTACATATTGCTTAATCATGCTTTATAAAGTAAGTATAACATTTCATGATCTCAAGGTAACTTGGGCTATTTTCTTTGCAGATGATAGATTTCATATTGCTCTACAAAAATATGTATTTCAGCCATTTGTTTGCATGTGTTTCTCAGGTCTGTTCAGATTTCTAGAAAAGTAAATTTTCCCATTTACGGAAATTCTCTTCATGCCATCATGATCTATCGCAAAAAAAAATCACAAATTTAAATGAAATTATTGAAATTTACTAATCTATTTGATCTCAGCCCATATAATAAAATATATAAAAACAACTAGACCCCCCCCCCCCAGAACAATTGGAAATTTCCAAGTAATTTCCAAAATTTCCACTAGTTCTGGAGGAAAGGGGTCTTGTTTCTTTATACCTATTATTATATGGACTTAGATCATATAGATTAGTAAATTTCAGTAATTTCTGTTATATTTATGATCCTTGTTTTTTATTGGATTATGATGGTATGAACGAAATTTCCGTAGATGGGGAAATTTACTTTTCTGGAAATCTAAATAGATCTCCTCGGGGCCACTACTGCCCTATTCTTTTAGGATATGGAATCTTCCTACTATTGATGTTCCAAATCTCCTTGAGCCATTCTTTAACTATTCTTTTCGATCTTTGTATTCGACTCCATTGTAACACGCTTAGTGCCAAAAATTATCTGAGTCTTTATTATAACAAGAAAAAAAAGTATAAAACACTCTTCTAGTTTAGTTTTCGAACAAGCTTTTGACGCTTGTCGATAAAAGAAATGAATTGAAAAGAAAAATTTTCTTTTCTTTTTACATCAGGTGCTTTGCATAAATTTCATTCAACTTCGTAATGATTAACGTAATTTTTCAAGAATTTTTGCAAAATGATCTATGATCATACATGATACATATGTCATGCAGTCAGTAGAGACCCTTGGCTCCGAAAATATCTGACCCAGTTGAATCTTACTTCGATACTCTCAAAACAAAACTTTCTAATTGCAACGAAATATTCGCTCTGCATGTACGAGATACACTTTTCTAGGTTTTTAGATTGGGTGACTAAGCGCATGCTACACACTTTTCAAATCACTATTTTCTATCGTGTTTGAAATTTTCAGACTCGAATCCGACGGACTGTAACAATCAGTCTAACTATCACGCTTACCTAAAAGACCAAGAAAACAAATTTGTAGAGCGCAAAAATTACGGCACATGAACGAGTTTATCATTCCATTTGAATGATAAATGTCTGCTATTCTGTTCAGAGTAGATCTGAAGAAAAGTGGAAAAAAATCGTCGACCGATAATTTTCGTTACAGAGACCTACGCCTTTTTATCTCCATCAGCATTTCGATTTTCTATCTGTTTGAGGATGTGGAAATCGATGAACATAGAACGCCCACACCCACACCCTCGTTTTTCCGTGAACTTTGAATATTAATCAAGAATTTTAACTCTTCTTAGCAGTGTCTAATATTTGATTTCGATGTCATTCGATGCAGGATTAAATTCTCCATTTAATGAACTTAATTCAAATGAATTAACAAACTTTGATGCGAATAGCGACAAAAGAATTTTATCTCCTGCAAGGTCAATTTAATTCGATTTTTTGAATATTGATGACGAATTTTCTGTCTTTTGATCTGTGGCCAACACTTGAACTTGATGCTATTTAATGCAGAAATGAATTCTGTATTTCGGAGACCTAATTTGAGTTAACTGACAAACTTTAATACGGAGACCGAAAGACCTTTTTTTTCTCGTGAAATTTTAATTTATGATAATTTTGAATATTAATGACCAATTCGCTCTCTCTGAGGAAAAGTTTTCAGTATTTGAATTTGATGTCATTAAACGGAGAATACTATTTTTTTAACATTATTCTATTATCTAATTTTCAAACAATTAATTCAATATGAACAACGAGAAAACAAAGATATAACATTTCAACTCTCTTTATAACAATGAAAATATAGATAAAAATCTTTGCAATGCACCAATGGTGTGGAATTAAAGTGTAAATGTTTTATTTTAGCACAATTGTGACGAGTTGCTTCGCGTGTAAAGTTTTCTATGACTTGTTGTAAATTTGAATAGGAAATTTTAAGATCAATACGACGTGGTAAAAGCGTGTTGGTATCAACTAAAAGTTGTTCTGCATTATCAATATTTCCGAAAATTATTACGAGATGCGTGAGATAAGAAAATATAGTAACCGACGACATTTGATTATTCTTGCTTGTTTCATGTGATGATCTAGAATTTCGTGTTTTATAATTAGAAACAGTTAGATCAGTTAGAAATGGAAAAGAACGAGTGATTCGATCATAGATTTTATGTTCAAATAGACAAAAATTATCCGATAACGATATTACACGAACATTTTTAAATAAACCTCCAGGAAAGGTACTGCTAATATCACTCATAACATTCATTTTGTATGGAACTGAATAGATGTGAGATCGAGCCATTCCATTTAGATATTAATCTAAGTAAAAATCAACTTAATGAAATCGGATGTCTTCATATAATTGATTATTAACATAAGTATTGACGTTAGTACGAGTGATAATATTGAAGCTAAACGTTTGAAGTTGAGACATATGATCGAGAATCTCATTGTTGAGATGAATACCATCAATAAATGTCGATCGATTATTAACACTAACATATAATGTAAGTTGTTCGAGATATATCATTCGACGAAGAAGTGGTACAACATGAGTATCATATTCATTTGTTTGAGTATATGAAGTTAGTGAAAAACATTTTAAATTCAATATATCCTTTAAAAAAAAAAGACTTCTTTAATTAATGTAAACAAATACTCTTACTGTATTATTAATAAATAATTTCGAATTCCAAATTAAATCAATTCTCACAATGAGCGTACGCAGTTGACGGAGATGTCCATCAAGAAAACATTGACAATCGTCGAATGCTTCTACATCGATATGCAAATTCACAATACTGGACGAAAATAACTGTTTACAGATAAACTAGTGAATGTCAACATTGGATGAAACCATTTAGTGCTTTGAACGAAATTCAAATCTGTAAGGTTTGTGAATAGAGCGAAAATACGTTCAAATATATTTCTTCGTAACCTGTTATATGATCTTGATTCAGTGTCATCGATTAATACGACAAGATGCTTGATTTTGTTTTTGAAAATGTTAGCAAAATGAGATTCGTCTGTAAAAACTTGTTTAAAGAATGAATATATGTTTTATTTGTAGGATATTGCTTATAAGAGATAAATATTTTGTACCTGCAAAAACTCTTCTTGCTAACTCTTGTGTGAGATTGATGAGAGTAAGTTTACATAATCGAGTATAATCACCAGCGTAAAAAATTCGTTCCATAGAACGTGATTCAAGAATGAGTTCTTCAACAATAGAATTGATTTGAGGTAATGTATCCAAACAAAATCGATCTAATATTTGATCAGATAATGAACAATTGTCTTTTTCTTCACAATTTGTTTTTATCAATTCAATAGAATGAGTGTAAATCTTATCACGTATCAATTTATCGAATCTTTTGCTAACATTTAAAAATGAGTAAAGTACGTCAATTTTATTCAATTTATTCCAAATAATAAGAATTATTTCGTCCAGTAGATTCATAATATTAACCATTGAACGATTCATGTTTGTTCGGAATAGAGTAATCGCTAATAAAGTGAGCAAAGTATTGTTCAATTGTTCATATATATATCTTGTCGGCGAAAGTGGAATATAGATAAATTGCAATTCTATTTGTGTCTAGGCAAAGTTGGAGTATTAATTTTGATTATAATTTTTTCAGGCATAATTGGAAATTTGGTGCTTGTTTAGTGTAAATATACCTCTTATCCTTACGCAGTATTGTGTGATATGTTAAACATAAAAATTAGCAGAAACGCTGTTTTCAAAGTGAACTAGGACCAAAATTGCAATTTTGTCTACAACATATAAATACAGGGTGTCTCAAAATTCATGATCACTTAAGAATTGCGTATAACTTCATTATTAGGCAAGTTAAATCTAATGTTTTTTTTTATTTAGAAAAGAAGATCAGAAAGTTTTTCTTCATAAAGGCGAAATTATAAAACACTCTTCAATAACAATATATTTGACTTCAACACATAAATTTCGATGTTTTACATTTTCAAAAAAAATCATGTAACGGTTTATTTTTATTATATCGATTTCTTTTTTTTATTCGAGTCGTTAAATTATAGAGATCTGTTACAGTTGTTTTGTAGACATTTGGTTTGAGATAGACGCATAGATAGAAGTCCAAATATGTCAAGTCTAGTGATCGAGGGGCCCATGATATTGGTACACTTTATCTAATTCACCTGTTATGAGAGATTGGTTTCAGCCAGACACGAACGAATTTCGAAAAAAAGAATCAGTGCTGTATCTTGCTGAAAAATCATAGAGTTACTAAATCGATGCTTCTGTAAAATTCGATTAAAGGAGTTCTAAAATATTTTTAAACAAGTGTCTTAGGTTAGTATTGTATCATCGGTGCGAGAGGAATCGAAAAAAGTGGACTAATATCATGGGCCCCTCGATCAATAGACTTGACATACTTGGACTTCTATCTATGCGTCTATCTCAAACCAAATGTCTACAAAACAACTGTAAAAGATCTCTATAATTTAACGACTCGAATAAAAAAAGAAATCGATCTAATAAAAATAAACCGTTGCATGATTTTTTTTTGGAAATGTAAAACATCTAAATTTTTGTGTTGAAGTCAAATATATTGTTATTGAAGAGTGTTTTGTAATTTCGTCTTTATGAAGAAAAACTTTCTGGTCTTCTTTTCTAAATAAAAAAACATTATCAGATTTAACTTGCTTAATAATGGAGTTATACACAATTCTTAAATAATCATGACTTTTGGGACACTCTCTAGAAATAGTTATGATGACCAATCAGAATAGTATAAGAATATTCAATCAAAATGAAAATAATATTTTACCAAAATAATAATTCAAATCGAATCCATTAATATTAGATAATTATTATGACTAAAATTCTATTTAGAATAAAAAACTTAACTTTTCATTCAAGTGAAGCCTTTGCTCAAAAGTCATATTCTACGGAATATAAAAAAATCGTCAAGCATCGCAAAAATTCATTGATCTTTGATGAATGTTTACTGATAAATATTCAATCAGATGAGTTTTTTTATTAATAGTATTCATTTTTTTGTCAGAAATTGTTTTTAAGACAAATTACAAGACAAGTCGAAGTATAAAAGTCAGTCATAATATAATTATAAGGTCGACTTCGTTTCGGAAAACGATTATGTCTACCACCACGTCGATAATTATTTGAATAATTACTACGATTGTTGGCCCATGTTTCTTCTTCTGATAAGATACTTTGTCAGACATGAACATAAAACTAAATCACGTAACATACATAAACGTAACAGAAAAAAGCAGAACAAAATAAGAAAAAACAAATTAGACTATTTTCAGTCAATTTTTGATAGTGATGCGGAGAACAATTAAATCCTTACATAGTCACTATTGCCGTCTTGTTTTTCGTATGACTATTAAAAAGTGACCTAAAATAGTTTAATTTTTTTGTTCTGTTTTTATTTTACGTTTATGTATGTTATGTGATTTATTTTTATGTTTATGTCTGACGAAGTATTTTATCAGAATAAGAAACGTCACTAGTTTTTTGTTTATTTTGGGTGTGGAGTGTGGATGGGTGCCGGTGTGGGGTTTGATCTCAACCATGCTCCACACCCAAATCGGTTTGGAATATAGACAATATTTCATCACTACTATCAATTGTATCGATTTGAAATTCAAACCGGGAAATCAGTTACAAAAGGAAGTATTTTTCGACCACATGTTTCCATTTATGTCCGTCAGCAAAATATTTCTCAGATGTTTTCAATGAGAGTGTTTTCAAGTGAGACTTTTCAATCAATAATGCTGTCAGATTGTCGAATGTTGTGTATATGACAAGTTTTTAATCTAGATTTTCAAATTTATTACTTTTATTTTTCTTGCTAAACCACTTGTGCTTTCGCAACATAATGAAGAAATATAGATATCTTTTAAGTTAGGCTGATAATGAAGTAGAAAGAATACATTTGTCATTGTAGAATATTTCAACACTATATATATATATATCTCAGATTGTTTGAATTCGTTTTTGTTCTGAGTTGTGGAATTAACCGTATCCGATTTGTCAATATTAGTTTCAGGCATTTTAGGGCTGGTATCCGATTCTGCATAATCATTCTGAATAAGTCACTGTGAATTTGGTCATAACTGATATATTCTCTTATGATGATTGATAGCGATGAGAAATTCTCGAAACGACATAAACGACGTACTAAATCAATAAAATCAAGTGGTTGAATGTCACATACGACCAAGCTTTGACAATTTTTGATGAATGGTGCCATTGAAAATAATTTATTAAATAAAAATATTTGGTCACTACTTCATGTTGTTAGCGACCGAATTAACTCCGGTCGTAAGTATCGGGATACAATGTTAAAGTTTTCGTTGGTAGACGAGGTCAAATAATAAGGACGCACTTCTCGAGAAGAGTGTCCAGTCGAGTGGATAATTTATACAGTGAATAGGATAGATCAGTAACATCGAAATATTTTAAACTTACTATTAAGATTTCATTCGATAAATCAATTAATTTTGATTGAGTCATTCTCTGTTCGAAACCTGAAATAGAAAGCGTATAAGTGAACTCCAATCAGTAGCTTTTCGAGATTCAATTGGTGACAGCAGACATGTACAGAAAAGTGTGTTGTATAGAAAAAAATCTCGCTCTCGAGAATATAAACACCGGGTGTAGAGTGCTGTATGGAGTTTTTTACGAGTATGAGTAAAAGCTACATACAAACTTTGCATCAATAGTAAAGTCGTTTTTGAAACGCAAATTCAATAGAGAAAGCTTCCAGCTTTCGCACGGCGTACTTTGCTTCCAAAAAGGTATTTTTTTCCCCATGGAATCGAAAAACAAAAGGGTACAAAAAATCGTCGGGTCAGGTATAACGATTTTTTTCTCGTATGTTTTTTAAATAGAATCATACCAGTGGTATTTTGTGAAACACGATCTGAAAAGAGCGTTGAAGTGTTTAGGGGTAGAAATTTGCACTTAACCCCGCCCCCACAGACCGTGACAGACAGGCTTCAGCGAACATCATAGACTGTGATAGAAGACTTCAAGAAAATATCAGAGATTATGCATAACTAACATATGATTGGAGCATATATAGAGTATTACCATGTTCAAGCTCTATAATGTAAAGTAAGCCATGATGAAGAAATGTACCCCAATATGCATAAAAAGCAATAGTTTTTAGAAGATTGGCAACAACAGCTACATCGCGTTTCACATTTTGAATCCCGCAAGGGATTGCGGTAACATCTCTTTTTGTAAGCAAAGAATGTCATTCGACAGCTGGAAGATTGCTCTATCGAGCCGACGCGTCAGGAAGGACTTCAGTTTTTATCTGAATGTTTTTATGGCTGTTACTCGTACCCGTGGAAATATTCGATGTAGTACTCTAACCGGATGCGGAAGTGTGAATGGAGTAATGAAGAAAAGGTTCACAGGACACGCTCACATCTACACCCTCGTCTGAAACTTTTTCGTCATATGGTATACGTGAAAAATGATGATCAAGCTTATATGGATATTGTATCTTCATTACGAAATATAGTGGAGAATATTAATCATGATTATAATAATCATCTTTGTTCATTATGTTTTAATGTTCCAGCAGCAGATGATGAAACAATTAAAAAATTAAACGAAATGATTGGTGAAGCAAAATTATTATTCGGTTATACAATTAGTCATCTACGTGATCATATTTATGTAGCATGGAAATGATTATAAAAAATGTATTTTTTATTTCTATTAAAAAAATTCTTTAATAAATAAAATAAAATGTCTTTCGATTACCAAAATCATCATTAATATGTTATTTAATTTTTTTTCCATAAATGATGAAGAAAATATCTGTTTTTCTTTGAGTAAATTTTCAAGAAAATGTTCAAGTCGAAAAAAATCTATGATGTATAAGTATTCGCACAAATATCGAGACCTTTTCTATTTGAATGGAAAATGCTAAAAGTCGAGCTTTTTCTCTCTCAGATAGAACAATGTATATTCGCTTTAAAATACATGTTAAAAAAATTAGGAAGTGGTTTTGATTTTCCTAAATCACTAACAATGACTTATTACCAACATAGAATTAGTGATTCTTTCATATCTTGGTTATGTATTTGGTTTAATGCTTTCAAATAGAATATCAATATTGAGAAGCTGCATTAGTCAGTGTTGCAATCGGCAAAGGTAAATGGTCGTCTCTGGTAAAGGGTTCTTTGCCAGTTGGTCTAGGTTTTTTTTTGAGTTTTTCCATGATTTATTTTGGGTGTGGGTGGTGTGGTTATACAGAGTATACATATCCATACACATACCAACTACCCCCAACCTTGAGAAATTTTCATCCTTTCCCAGCAAAATTTCTGCATTTTTTACTTTTTTCGCTTATAAATTTTCAAAAATTGCTCGACAATCCCCAGGTTTGATTAATTTTAGCTAAATTTTTATTATCAATCCCGTAATTCATAGATACACCCAAATTTTTTGACTTCGGCACACCTCTGAGATCAAATAAAGTACAACGTATCTGGTAAGTCATTCACCAAAAAAGGAAATTCACATTTTCATCATAGTTCCAATGGATGAGCTAGTCGTTTTTGTAATAATGGTAGAGGGCAGTTCGAAGTTTTTATTCAATAATATGAATTTCTCAAAAACTCTTACAAAGTAACGTATTCAGGTTCAATACAGAACTAAAATTCTTTTTCGACATGCTAAAGAGCAATATGCAGGACTATGTCGTATTTATTGCATTTTTATTTTATTAATATGTATTTTCTATCACTCAGACCTATTTCTCTTTCTTTATAAACATCAAAACAGAAAAATATTCAAGAAACAGTAATAAATCCAATAAATTATATAAATCCAACAGGAACAAGAGAATGAATGGCGGTTGAATAAATAATAAAGTGTATGAGTAACAAAAAACACGTTTCAATTCGATCCTAATTCGATCATTTTCTTTCAAGTATTTACTAGAAGCTTGAAAAAACTCTCGAATTTTTGATAAGGTTTAAATGTGTTTTGTGGAAGCCATATACTAAATTATTTATTGAACTATTATCTATTCTTCTCTTTTTACTAGATCTATGTATATGATACTTATTTAATTTGATCTCATTATCTATTTTTATATTTTTTCGAATCTATTAGAATATTTATGCAACAGAAACTGTATCGTAAACAGGCGGATAATTTACCAAATTTCTTAACGTCTCGTTCTCGTCTCGCTGAGTTTTGTATCTCTGATCCACACCCTCGTTCGAATAGATTTTTCTTATTGGCATGAAACATTAAATAGTCGTAAGTTTAATTTGCAATATAGAAAATCAGTTGTTTGGATAGGCATCCAGATGAATGAACCAGAGTCATTTTCGTCGAGAAAATAGTTTCCAGCTGGAATCAGAAATAGAATTAGGAAATTTTTCCGATTCCGTCGAGTAGGACCGACTAAAAGATACCGTCAACGGATTAAAACATTCAAATTATTACTATTATACGGTCGAATACAACGTCTTTCCAGCAGACTTTCGTGAATTCGATCGCCCGGATCATTTGACCTGGCTGGTGGTAAGACTTCTAGAAAAAAAATTTTAATTAATAGAAAAATGTTCTTCTTTAACTACGATAAAATTTTCTTCTAGATTATTTTCATAGTCGAAATAAAATATCACTCTTTTATATTCAACTTTAAATCAGTTTTAAATCTATTTGTCTAAACACTTGGTTTTTAAAAGAACATTTTGTTTCTTTTTCATCGTATTTTTAAAATAGAAAAATCTTTAAGATAAATCAGACATAAACAAAAAACTATTCGATATTTAATATAGATTTTCTATTTTTTAAAATCGAATCAAATCTAATATATTAAGTTAAAATATATGATTCAACATGAAAACAACTACATAATATATAAATAGCAAATCATATTATTCTATTGACCTATTCAAAGTTAATGCATTCAATCGAAACTGATCCATTTTACTCTAATAGACATTTTTACAAATCTTCATGTTTTTGCTTTCTTGTTTTCTATCGAGAAATCTTTTTGCAAAATAATATGATCTTACTTGATTGTTAACCCTTTGGTCACAAGGTTTTTCTACCAACAAGAACAATTTTTTCGGTCGTTCTCAAAAAGTACGAAATAGGATACATACAATAATAAGATGTTTGATAGTACTACACAATGACACTCGGAATCTGCTAATACGACAGTACTTTGGTGACCTGATCAAGAACTCGAGCTCCGCAGAGCAATTTAATTTTAGCTTAGTGTATATAGGGGCTTGGAGCTAGAGACCTGCACGGAGTCATTTTGGGGGTCGCCGTCGGAGTCAATTAATTCTTTTGCTGAAAATTCAGTTTTTAGCATAAGAAATTTTTTGACTTTCAAGTTTTGTTCTCTGATATTTAATGCATAAACTGGCGTATTTTGAAGATTTCAATAGCATGTTATCAAGGTTAATGACCCTAGGGTCATTAACCTTGATAACATTGTGCCGATATTGATGGCACGCTTCGATGATTCTCCTTCCTCCTCCTTCTGTTCTCTTTCCATTGTTCTAATATATCTCTCTCCTGTCTCTCTTCTATTTCTCTCCTATATATACGTGTGTTATGTATGAAATTGTTACACTCTGGATATGTGAAGAAGTGAATAAACATCATTGCCGAGAGTGGCGGTAAGCTACTCCACCTCTATCCAGTTTGTCATTACGTAACGACCCAGTCAGGACCACTATTGATCGTTACAAACATGCCATTGGAATCTTCAAAATGAGTCAGTTTATACATTAAATATCGGAGAACAAAACTTGCAAGTCAAAAAATTTCTTATGCTAAAAACTGAATTTTCAGCAAAAGAATTAATTGACTCCGAAAACGACTCCGTGCAGGTCTCTACTTGGACCACTATCAATGTAGAGTAGAGTAGAAGAATTAGTGTAAGACTATAACCATGACTTCATGGTAGTATTGTGATCATTTCTTATAGAAGAGTTGTTATTGATGATGAAGTTACGCTTTCTTATGTTTCTTCATACCATAATTACATCGTTTATGTACAAAGCATCTATTTATATATGCAATCAGGTGAGAGATAAAAGAAAAGAGAAAGAATCAAGGAAAACAGAGCGATTAATCAATGCATTGATATGACAAAAGGAAGGACAGTTTGTGTAAGAAAAAATGAGAAGAAAAAAATGAAGAGTCATACATGAACATTGAAGTCAATGTAAGAGTAAGAATAGATAATGGCGTACAATAAATTCAACTGAGAACATCACAGGTATTTTAGACGATGCTTCAAGAATACAGCGTTTCATTTCATGAATAAACATCGTTTACTTTATGTATGAAAAGCTTTTGCTTCAGTAGTGCATTCTAATACAGCTCAAGACTGATAGCTTTCAGCTGTGTTGCTAAGTACAACCCTTGCATTGTAGACTAAGGTTATAGGAAGCAATCATCGACTAGAATAGATTCTGACAAGTTATCCTCTAGCAGAAATCTACTAAAATAGGAAAGTCATCATTGTAAACAGAAATAGTCCGATCAAAGCCCAACATGCTTATATACGCACTGCATAACCAAAGGATTGATGAAGGACTAATAAAAAAACAAAAAAGAATAATTTAAATTAACATAAAATGTCGAGTCCTATTTCTCTTCGATAAAAAGGTTCTAAAAGAAAACGTTTTTCTACTAGACGATAGAGCTGAATCTCCTCTTTCGAATCGTATATAATTTATTTTTATAGCACGTTCATAAACGAAATGACGTAACAGAAAAGAGAAGCATCTTTAGAAAAAATACGCAATTTTTCTATTAAAAGACCTCATGCAGTATCGATTCGTATATCTCTTCGATAAATAGATTCTGAAAAAATACTTTTTTTTATCAATTGATAGAACATTTTCTTCTCTTTCGAACGATGTAAGATTGATATTTATCATACATTGGTAAGTGAAGCAAGACGACAAAAAAAGAGAAGCAATCGCTTAATAAATTTGTAATTTTTATATGAATTCGTCAAAAGCATCTTGCAGATGACAACTAATTATAATTAACTGTCGTTATCTAGGATGTTTTTAACCATTTCATAAAAGTCAAAATAACCATTAGTTCACAAGATATTTTTAATAAGTCCACAAACATCGAATTAATTGTTGTCTAACAAGCTGCTGTTGACGAATTCTTATAAAAATTATAAACTTATTAAGCAAATGCTTCTCTTTTTGTTCGTTTTGCTTTACTTACCAATGTATGATAAATATCAATCATACACTGTTCGAGACGTTATTATTGAACAGTTACCATAGGGGATATAGGGATCATTATTTTGTATCGCTTTTGCTGAATCTCACGAAAAGTGTGTATTTTTTTTCCAAGAGTACTGTTCTTTTCTGTTGCGTCATTTCGTTAATAAACGTTTTATAAAAATAAGTTAAAAACGATTCGAAAGAGGAGATTAAGCTCTATTGTTTGGTTAAAAAAAGTTTTCTTTCGGCATCCTTGTATCGAAGAGAAATAGGGCTCGACATTTTGTCCCATTACTTTTGCATCGTATGTTATTATTTCAATTAATTTGATTCATTTTTCGTTGATTTTTTGTGTCTTTGAGATAAATTCTATAGTAAACAATTAGTTTTAAAAAAATATTTCTTGTTTTAAATTTTTGAATGATTATTGTTTTGTTTTATAAGAATGAGATATATTTA